CATCACCTTCCCAGATGAGAGGGCTGTTCATTCCCAGACTCTGACTGTGTGCTGGTTTGAATGTGCCTTCACTGATGGTACTTCAGGATGATAAAAAGAACCACATTAATTCCTACGAGACGGCCTCCCCTCAGCACTGATTACTGTTGTCACTGAGTGTCTCCGAGCAGCCTGGTCCTGTAACTAATGGTCCGGCTCTGTGAGGTTTTCGGCTTGAACTCCTGCTCCACTCACACAGAATGTGCCTTCATTTAATCTAATAATAAAATAATGGGATATAATCTGTGATATAACTTAACACATCCGTATCGCCTTTGCTCAGCGATGGCCAAGTGAATTCTTTATGTTCTGTGTCCGAGTGCAAAACAATAGAATAGAATAGAGAACAAAGAGAATAGAAACAATAGAGACAGAATAGAGAATTATGGACTGTTGAGATTTTCAGGCTTTTCACAAAGACCCACAAACAAACACCCACAACTGGTTTTAATTCATGATAATTAGACTTCCTAATGCTTTAGTTCAGGCTTTTGCAACATGTAATCATGTCCATATTTTTAATCTTACAGAGTTTCCATAAAACACTGGCAGTGATTGGTCATTTCCCTTGAGGCAGTGAATCACGCTGCTCACCAGTGGGTGTGTAACACGATGCTGTGATTATTGATAGAGAAGAAACCAGGCAATTAGACCACTGAGGACTCAGTCTGGCTGATGACCACTCCACATGCACAACTTTAATAGTTCAGTGGAAAATCACATCCTGGAGCCTCGTCTCTTTGAGGTAACTGTGAAATACGTTTGTAAAAACAACCTTTTTTTTTTTGAGTATTACCACGACATAATGTAAAACCAAAACCATGAAAGGATACGTTTACACCAATAACAGAAACAACAATTACTCTCAGGATATCTGGCTTATAAAAAACTAAAACCTGTAAGTACACGTTTCTCGAGACTCACCTGGACTCTTGGGTATAACTGCAGTACCTGCAGATTACTGTCTGAAAAAGTACTGAAAAAACGTCATATAGATAGATGGAGGATCAAATAAGTTACCTCTTTTCATTGTATTTATTTTATTAAACCTGTCCTATAACTTTGTGACTCCTTCCATATTTATGGTACAGTATTTGAAATCTTGGTGGAGACTACGTATAGTGCAGTGTATGTACAATATAAGTATTACCTGCAAGTGTCGTATGTTTTTATCTCCTTTCCTACACCTTGAGGTATATCTTCTGCTGCTATAACAGTAGAAGTGCTCACTTACCTCAGTCATTAACCCTGACACTTATTCTTGGTTTGTTTTCCTATACTTCACACCTCTTCCTGTCCTCGTCCTCTTTTCTTCTACTAACGGTATAATTATCTTCAGTTTCCCTCAATGCTTTCTGCAGTTTCAGTTCAATCGTCAAGGAAGAATAAAGAAAGTTCTTTAAATCTTAAATATTAAATATCTCCCTCTACGGTGCGAGTAGGTGGAATAACATCTTCAATCCGTTTGAACCCTCGCTGATGCCATCATAAAATCCCACTTTCTCAGCAAATGGAGTTTAATGATGAAGTCAGTGATGGTGTTCTTTAGTCGGGTTGTTTTTCTTACATCTTCACTCTGTGGATGGTTTATTCTTCTCTTTTAGCAAACACTTCCAGCCACAGATCCCATTCAGTCCAGAATGGTTTAAAACTGTGAAGTGGGGGGGGGGGGCTGGGCTGGGGCGGCGGGTTGATGGGGGCGACGTCCAATCTCGTTTGTCTGCAGATAAAAAGGTTGAAGGTTTAATTTGTGGGTTTTGAAGCAGGTTCTGCGCTTTGCTCAGACATCCATCTCCATCATGTCCGCCGTATGTGATCCACTCTCACTCCTGCTCCGCCTCCACCTCGCTCTCTTTCAACACTTGTGTCGCCATCTGTTCTCGATTAATGTGAGTTACGAGCAGTAATTGAAGCATCTGTTCCTCCGGTGTGCATCCTTTAGCCTGACACACCATCATATAACACCTCTCTCTGCGTCTGTCTCTGTCTCTGTCTCTCAGGCTGCTTTATTCTGTTTGTTGTTAGTGTCTCTGTCAAACAATGAGCTGGTTGGTTGCGAGGCGTTGGTCCTGGTGGAACTGCTGTTTATAGGTTGTCATGAAGTTTTGTGCAGTAAATTATGTTCGAGGAGGATGGATGGATGCTAATGGTGCTCCCATGAGCGTTGGCTATCTTCCCCGCTACTGCCACCATAAGGTTTGATGATGCACTAGCACTAATATGGTGCTAAATTATAATATTGATACAGCAGTTCTTTTAAAAATATTACTCACGTGTAAATGATATAAAGTCACCTGAGCTAATGATACAATACTAATATAGTGACATTTTTTACTTGGGTCGGACATCCAGCTAACATTAGCTAACGTCCATATAGCATAGCTCAGTCATTTACACATGTGTTATGCAGTATTTTAGGCTCAGCGTGCTACAGTGAAGTTATTACCTTTTCCTGCAGTGCGTGTAAATATTATGTGTATGGACTGTGTAGTAGATTAAAAATTAATCATTTTAATCTGATTATTTTTCATAAATTAATTAATTAATAAATGGGCAATTTTGAAAGCCCTAATCAATATATACCATTTGAAAGGGAGTGGTTGTTTTCTATACATCATTTCTTCTGCTATTCAAAGTTATGAGGTGGGAATTCAACACCTACTGTTGCTCTGTGAAATTAAATCAAATGATAAATGTTTAGGCATAATGTACGCTAGCCTTTAAATCATCATTAATCCACAGCTACCTTGTATTTATATATATATATACAGTATATATATATTTATATATATATACTGTATATACTATATATATATATAAACAGATATATATATATTTATATATATATACTGTATATACTATATATATATATAAACGTATAGTATGTATCTGTCAGACACCTCCTGTATAGCCGTAGCAGGCAGTGAGCCTGACTGAGCCGACTCCTCCTGCTGCTCCATGCTGTTGGCACACGTGGTTCCTGTTAACGCTCATCACCGTGGTCATAACTATCATCACAGTTACACAGAAGCTTCTGTGATGAGGTGAAGAGCAAACTGTCAGTTGATTAAAGTGCAGCAGGTCCTGTTCTGCGTGGTGAGCGGTGTGATGGTGCCAGATTTGAGGGGCGGGGCCAGGCAGAGGTAGACTGACAGGTGGAGTGTCCATATGTCGCCACAGTCACCAGCCTCGTCGTCTCAGCCTGGCCTGCTGCGTTCTGCTTAGGGTCAGAAGGCAGACGGCTCTCAGGGTTAGTCAACCAGACTCGGTGTCTCCGCTACAACTGGACAGTGGAAAAACAATAGGTTCAGGTTCATTACTGTGAAGGATGATTGTGGATTTTAGGTAGCGTTCACCGTCGATTTCCAAACTTCTGTGAAGCTCAACAGTACCAGCCCTTCTCAGTCCATTTGTCCATTGTGTCAGTCAGTTTGTCAGTAGTCTGTCTGTAGACTTACTGACTGACCTGACTCAGGTCTGAAGCAGGTGTCTGACCTGAAGTTGAAGCCTCCACAAAAATTTGCTGGGCGTTTGCTGAGATTTTAAAATCCTGCTGCTCCGGTTGAAATGAAAACCTTTTCCTGCAGTGTGTGTAAACGACACCTTCTGTGTAGATGGTGAGTTAGAGCAGCCATTAAATGGATGGATGCTGGAGTTATTGGATATTCTCCCTGCACTTGTGTGAAAATTTGTTAAAAATTCAAACCTGCTCTGTAAAGAGGTGAATTTGGACAGGCCTGGTTTTTTTTTTTCGTTTGTTTTCCTGTAGCTTAATGTTCTTCTGGTTTTGATAGTGATCATTTGGTTACTTAATGATAATGGCCTTCCTATTACTAACTGACATGACTGCAGCTGTAATAACCAACCATTTATGTCACCGGCCGCTAAAAGCTGTGTACATCAGACACTGACGTTAGCACAAAGGAGATAAGAAGACAAACGCATCTGATTAGACCTGACCTTGGGTCTTCATTTGTTTCAATGAAGCCGTCTGAGAATGAACGCGGGGCAACAGTGGGGGCAACAAAGTGACAGGGGTGGCCATGTGATCCAATTATTGTTGTCTTAGTCTTCATTCATTCACTGTCACCACAGATGATGCTGGAAAAGGAGAAGAGTGAGTGGCCACGGTCAAACCCAGCAAAAAGGTGCTCAGCTGTTTTTTCACTTTTGAACTATAACCTTAACTATTACGAATAAATAACTGGTCATTATCCCGTCCCGACCTCTAATCTGATTAAGTCTAGATAAGTCTTCAACCTCATAACATGCTCTGTCCAAATGTCTCCCCAAAACAAAAACTGTCCCCACATGTATCTGGAGTGGACAGATGAGTGGTAGAGTAGAGTTTCCTCTAGGACACGCGTGGGCAAACTTTTTGACCCGCGGGCCACAATTGTCCTAAAAGTAAACAGCAGGGTCGGGTCAGGAGCAAAGAGATGACCTGTAAAGGTCATGTATAAAGACAGAAGAATAATCACAATACAAACTAATTATATCATTTGGACAAGTTCAGTGGGCCGGATTACAAAGCTGAATGGGCCGCATCTGGCCCCCGGGCCTTAGTTTGTCCATGTCAGCTTAGTTAGTTAGTCAGTCAGTTAGCTACTGCCAGTAGTAAGTGGACAGTTTGGTCAACCATTGATTACATTTGTAGTGAAACTCAAAAATGAAAATGGTTTATTATTTAGCAGTGAGGGTAAAAGTCGAAACAAATCTTCGACATTCTTATAAATAATCTGATTTTTTTTTTTCACCTTCTTTGATGTTTGTTGATGCCAGTGGCTTCTTTGTTCTCTCCTACTGTCCTACAGTTTCTACTAATTTCATCAAGTCCATTGTTTTTTTTTAATATTTTAATTCTTGACACATTCTTTCTCTGTGGTTTTCCTACGTGCATACACTCCTATTTTTCTGTCTTCTGTTTTTTCATTCACATCTGCCTCTTCTTCTTCCCTCAGGCCTACTTTCGTCAGGGGGTTGCCCTGCAGTACCTGGGGCGACATGCCGACGCCCTGGCAGCGTTTGCGTCTGGGCTGGCCCAGGACCCCAAGAGTCTGCAGCTCCTTGTTGGCATGGTGGAGGCCGCCATGAAGTCACCTCTCAGAGGTAGGTGTGTCCGACGGGAGCTGACGGTAGTACTACACAGTACTACTCCAGTGTTTGGTTGTTATCTCTTACACCTGAGTCCTTCCGTCAGTGGTGAATGCCCCCTGGAGGTTTCCCTGAAGAACTGTAGGGGGTTTGATTAATATATACATACATTTCTAATAAATGTGTTTAAAATAAACATGAATATAGAGTATGAAGCAGTGTCTCAAAGAAATGGAATTTTAATTTATAATTTACCTGTCTTTATGTGCATGTTATTTGTATTTTTCCTGGCCCAGACCATCTTCAGTGCCTCAGACCAGTGGTTTGGTGAGGTGTATAACTGAGTGCTGACACGTCAGTTGTGGTGTGACTTAACTACACAACGTTACGACTTCTTTAATCTTGCTCTCTGTTTGAAGTACACTACTAAAAAGCCTGTGATTGCAGAGATTTTTAGACCTTAGGCCTGAGCAGCGAGGCTTAACGTGGGATTTGTTTCCTCTGTACGACAACAGCAGGTGGATTAGTACAGGCTGCAATTGTTGCACAAATAAAAAAGAAAAAAACTCTCCAGAAGCTCAGTTTCGAAGTAGAGCAGAGTGAGTAGAGTGAGATGTGAGCTCAGCGTGAACTGTCAAGTCACTTCAATCTTTTGTTGTTTAATTCAGTAAACCCGCTTCTCTGTGATTAGAGAAAGATGTGGGTTTTTATTTATGTTGTTGAAGTGGGAACTGGAACAGAAGTAGAGTGGGAACAGTCAAGTAAAGGCATTTTCTCACGGTGGAGAAACTTTATAGCTAATGTTGATCATTTCTATTCTTTTCCATTCCTTCTCTAAACCAATGGGTCTCAAACTTTTTATTGATCGAGTAGCTTTATTCCCCAAAAGAATACTAGCGAAGGTGCCCCCTGATGGTCACTGAAAAGAGCACACTCTGTTGACCTTTTCAAATGGACTTTTCTTCCGAGACCAGGATGCGGTATCTGTTTCTGTACACCTGTGATATAGTCACATAAATAACAGAGAATTCAATGGATTGTGTGAAGTGTTGTTTACACTATTTCTATATAAGGTCCTGTGATAGAACGACAAACTGTCCAGGGTGTACCCTAACCCCCACAGCTGGGGTTAGCTCAGTTGACCCCGTGACCCTGCGGAGTGTGACTTTAATGTTAACTTTGAGTCCTAATCCATTTGAAGCTGCTGTACTGTTTTCCTCCTTACGTAGAAGGAAAATAAAAGTTCCCTCTTGTAAAATTCATAAGGTAGGTTTTTATGAGCCATCGATCGACTGGCCCACAGTTCACAGTGCACGCTACACTTTAATGCGAAGGTCCCACAAACTGTACTTAAAGATTGTTTTATGCAGGCCAGGCCTGGCACAGGGTTGTGTTTTTTGCCCTTCAGCTGCATGAGAACGATGACAGAGTGGCCTGGGAATTGTCTTCCCTTTGGCTTCACTACAGAAAACCTCTACGTACACAGAATTGACTGCGGTGATGTCGAGCAGATCTGGCTGAGCATCAGGCTACTTCCTGTATAATCTTATTGATTTAGGAAGGTGTGTGTAAAACGAGGTCCACTTCCTACTCCAGTGCTGCCTTCAACGCTCTCATTGGACTGAATGGAGTGAGTGGGTTCAGAGTGTACGCTGCAGCTGGGCAAAGTGAATCCTTATGCCGTCATTAGTGTTTGGAGGTGGCGGCAGCATGCTGTGAGCAGCTGGGACACGCCGCGTGTGTGAAGTCCTGGATAGATCATAGTGATCACACCCCTCCACCCCCCCGCTCCCCCAGGAGCTTCAAAGGAAGGAAAGTGCAAGTAGGTGAATCAGCGTTTGACTCCACACAACCAAGTCAGACCACAGTGGAAGCTGACGTGATGTCAGGCGTCAACACATGTGGAAGTCTGTGCAGCAGTGGATCAAACTGTGCACGGGGATCAAACTCTGACCGTTTAGTTACAAACTCCTACTATAAAGCAGCAGTGAAGTTCATTGTGTATTGCTCTGTTAGCTTTGAAGCTTTAAAGTTCAGTCAATGTTGTATAAATCCTAAGTTGACAAAGACTTAGATCAGTGCTCCTACTGAATGTTTTGTTAGCTTTGAAGCTTTAAAGTTCAATGTTGTATAAATCCTAAGTTGACAAAGACTTAGATCAGTGCTCCTACTGAATGTTAGTCAAAAAGATCTAAGACATGTTATACTTTCTAAAGGTGGTCTGATTGAAATAACCTAAAGATGTTGAAGGCATAACCAAGTACATCATATAAGATTTCATAATGTAAATATAATTGTTATTTTATTATATAAGATATATAAGATCATATAAGATTTCATTTTTACACATAATGTAAATATAATTGTTATTTTATGTTTTGCAGGACTACATTGAGTTACGTCTAAGGTGCTGAAAAGAGTGCTGAATGAAAAGGAGTAATTAACTTATTGAATCAATTCTAAATACCAAACTAAATTTGTCTTGTTATCAAATGGTCCACGTAGTGGTGGAGGCTGGGGAGCCCCGTTTTGAAACACGTCTCTCAGGCGTCTTTAACAAACCAGTTTTATAGTTAGATTTTTGTTACGTTTCTAGATTTGAAAATCTTCTCTTAATTTTTGATCAGCAATTTCAATTCTGGAAAATGTTTAGATTTTTAAGGTAGAGCAAACGTCATTTTTTTAACCAAGATTGAAATATTTTTTGTGATCTGTTCAAAGTGTGAGCTCTAATCCCAAACATGAAAGGACATTTAAAAAAATGGATTTCAGTCCTCTGATGGATGGTGTAAAATAATTTCCCAAAATTCCTCAGAAGGAAATTCTCTGATGGAAGTATTGCATGAAAATGAGATTAGACGTAAATGGAGGGAATATAAAAAAAACCAAGTGTCTGATCTGTATCTGGATGAGCCAGAGTCAATAAAGGTCACGACATATTTCTGATTCCTCACTTGTTGTTGTGCTTCCTCACAGACACCCTTGAACCCACCTACCAGCAGCTGCAGAAGATGAAGCTGGACAAAAGCCCCTTTGTCGTCGTGTCTGTGGTTGGTCAGGAGCTGTTGACCCATGGTTTCAACGGGGCATCTGTGGTGGTGCTGGAAGCTGGGCTGAAGATCGGCACCTGCTCACTGAAGCTGCGCGGCTCTGTGTTCTCGGCCCTGAGCTCCGCCTACTGGGCTTTAGGTAACGCAGAAAAGAGTATGACCTACATGCAGCAGGACCTGGAGGTGACCAAGACTTTAGGTACGGGACGGAAGACAGCAATAAAACACAAGTACCTACAGCTCTATCCAAATGAATGTTTTGAACTTTTTCTCGGGCCCTCAGGTGACCAATCGGGTGAATGCCGTGCCCATGGGAACCTGGGCTCTGCGCTCTTCTCCAAAGGCAGTTACAGAGAAGCACTGGCCAATCACAGGAACCAGCTGGTCCTGGCCATGAAGCTCAAGGACAGGGAGGTAGGTATGCATGCGAAGGCTTTGTGAGTAAAAGAGATGGAATGTGCTCTCACTCGTGTACATTTGATATTCCATATTAGTGCGCTCAGTTCAAGTACACCTCTTTCACTCCACATGTTACCAAGTTGGAAACAGCCTTGATTTCAGTTCACTTCTCATTGTTATTGCTACGAGACATACATGCTGTTCATGCCCGCACTGGAGGAGGAGGAGGAGTGCTGTAATTACCTTTACTGACCACAATAATGTAATCAGTGGCTTCAGGATGGTGGCGCTGCAGCTTAAAAACAGTCCCATTATTTGATCATAGAACTCATAAATACTGGACCTCAGGAAAGAGAAAGGACCAATGACTTCAGTGCCAATATTTTACTCCTGTTTTAGGTTTGTTTTTTATAATCAGATTAAAGTTCATTTACTGTTACTTTAAACGTCGGTTTTTCATTTATTGTATAATATTATCAGTTCTTATTTTTATCTCAAGCTTTTTATCTACAAGCTATCAGTGCGCTACTTTGAAGATCTCAAGTACAAGCTATCAGTGCGCTACTTTGAAGTACTACGGCGTCAAATGAGTGTAATTACAATCTTTTGTAAAAGTCACTGTAGTACATTACGTGCCTTGATGCAGCTGATGTACATGAGTCTTTATGTTCCATTAATATACGGAAAAATATTTAAAAAAAACTAGTCCAAGGTCTGTCTTGATTAATCATGATTAACCTACAGCTACACTGTGATTAATCTGATTTTTTAATTGTTTTACCTACAGTGTAGAGGTACGGGAATGAATGAAAAGGCAGAAAAAGGAGTCGGTGATACCAGGATGCAAAGGTGTTAGGAGAAATCTTTCCATTTCCTCCGTCCTTCCCTGGTTCGACTGTACAGTCAGGATCGATCAGCAGATAGATTAGAACTCAGTGTCGGAGTTGTTCAGGTTGATACACAGTTATGATACTATTTATCAAAGAGTGAATTTACAGTAAGTGTGAGCACTGTTAATGTAGAGACTGCAGCCAGGCGGCGGTGAAGGTGGGAGAGGGATAAATGATGCAATTATATTCATATCACCTGCACAAACAGCAGAGCCTCACAGGAGCAAAGTGTCCAAAGTCACTGCATATTTCTTTGTGCCCATTATTTTCTGCTGTCAGCTGTGCTCTCAGCACTGAGGCGTCTGTCTGGGCGCCACCTGACCCCCCCGTGACCCCCTCACACACACGCACACACACAGCCGGTTATTAAATAGTGTGTGATTTCATCAGTGGAGTGCAGAGTAATTCACACTCAGGTCTTCAGTGACGTCCTGCCTGAATGTATCCACAGCTTAATAACAGCGTTATGTCTAAAGAAGCCATTGATATTACGCAGAAATGTGGTTTAACGTGTAGTAATATTAACGATAACTCATGTGTCCATAATAACAACAAACCCCCGAAGCACAATTCAGCTGGCCTTGGAGTGGCCAACTCAAAATCTGATTGGTTAAAGAAACTATTTCATTGTCATTCCTTTTAGACACTACTGACTGTCAAAGGATTCCTTTCAACCTGGCAACACACGAGGCTGAAATATGATTGGATGCAGAGCAGCAAAGAGAAAAGCTGAGGCCGTGAATGAATAATGATTCTATAAATATAGACGATAAATATATTAAAAAAATTTTGAGTACAGTTTGTGGTACAGTTTGGGTCTGCCTGGGACGCCGCTAGATTTGACCATGTTTCCAGAGAGGACAATTGACAATCTGTCAGCACGGACACGGTGGTTTTGATGTGTTGTAATGGTAGCAGTGAAGGAGGAACGCAGCGTGTGTGGATGTCGGCTGTCTGTGCTTTCAATCAAGCTCTAACAAGCGTCCAACCTGCTGCCACACACACACACACACACACACACACACACATTCAAAGCCACTCATTAATAGTTTCCTCGGATCTAAACCAGACGCAGCAACTAAGCTGCTCCACCACAGTTGCTTCTTCTGAGGCAACAAGAAAATGAAGAGCCATCAACACAAATCCATATCTCTCCCACTGTGTGTCTGCGTGTGTGTGTGTTTATTTGTTTGCGTGGACATACAGTGGACATGCAGCACAAAGACATCACCCTCAGAGAGCAGGGATCTATAACAACACAGAAAGAACAGCCCTGGAATTCATTCAGTCTCATTAATTGATCTGTTTGTTTGTTTGTTTTCTTAAAGTCACATTGATTGACTTAAGAAGTCCAGCAGTTGATAAACTGAATAATTGGATGAAAGAAAGTAGTAGTTTTAAAAAACTGTGACCCATTATGGTTCCATGGAGGTACTGTAGAGGAGGAGGTCAATCTGTGCAGTCCATATCAAAATATAAAATATATTACGTTATATGTAAACTCTACAGTATGTGGAACAGATAGAACTGTACCGCATATACAAAACTATACAGCAGGGGTCGCCAACTATATTTCTCAGGGGGCCAGAATTTTCCTGGACAGACCCCTTGGGGCCAGACTCTCAATTACAATGAAAAATAAAATCAAATGTTTAGCCTAACATTTTTATTCGATGTTAATTTTGGAATCCAGTCCCAGGCCGATTTGGACGGTTAGGCGGGCTGTATGCAGCCTGCGGACCGCCAGTTGATGATCAAATATACACAGGTTTCAACAGCAGCTGTAGTCTGGCTGGGTATGTAAATAAACACCCCACTATATTATTTAGGAAGTTTTGTTTACTATTTTGTTCTACTCTAACAAACAGTTTTGTCCTTTATACTCTCAGACACCTCCCTGTTTAATTAAACTACGACAGACGACTGCACCTTTTTATTTGATTTCCTTTATGTGCACAATGACAACAGCTGTCAATCACTTGGATACTTCCTGTGGTGTGTGTAGTGTGTACTGACATAAACTCTAACAAACACTAACCCTCAGAGTCACAGACACACGACTGGGTTTTTGTGTGTGTTTTTGCATGAAGGAGAAATATTACGTCCTTGAGGGAAATCAGACAACTGTCTGACCTGTTGACTGTATACCCACCCACCCACACACACACACACACACACACACACACCACAGGCTGCGTTTATTAAATTTCTCTTTCTTGTCAAGAGCGCTGCCTCAGAATGTGTCGGCTGCATTTTGTGTTTCCTCTCATCACTTCTCTGGGAATTGGGATCTCAGCGAACGTTGCCATTTTCTTTTGTGTTTTTGTGTGAAATTCTGGGCCCACGTTCACATACTGAAGTGTGCTGATGTCCAACACGGGCTGTTAAATCCTGCTAAAGGTCAGGTTGTGTGTTGTCAGTGTCAGACTTGGTCTCATTAGAGTGTGTATTTAAAAGTACTGTCGACATTCACTCGGAGTAATTGTACTGTGAGTGGGCAGTAATACAGGAACGCAGGAGAGGTTAAATGAAAAAGTTGTTGAAGTTCAGTGTTGAAGTTCAGTGTTGAAGTTTGTGTTATTGATTCAGTCCATAGTTAAAATCCATTTTTGTTGAATATTTATTATTATTTAGTGTTTCAAATATTTCTCTTTGTAAATATCTATACCCTAATCTAATAGCTCCTGTTTTACTCCATTAATCAGAAAAACTCTGGATCACAGTACTCACAGGTTGTGAGCAGTACTACCTCCAGAACAGGTGGCAGGTTCACGACTGAATGTCATCTGTCATCGATTGGCTGTAAACAGCCCCATGTGATGGTGATGGGAAAAAGTGCAGTATATATGAGGAGGATCAGTACTCTGTTGTACTGATAAAGTACCTTAGCCATGTAGTGAAGGGTACATATTCTCCTGTATAATGGTATTATTGATCGTCAGAGGGTAAAATTAGCATAAATCTGTGGTAGTTAGTATCTGGCTGCTCTACAGAGAGGCCGCTACAGGCTCAAGGACAGAGTACTTAGCTAGTGGTCATCTGTGGTACTTCAGTAAAAAAAAAAATCAAATCTAAAGTAGAAGCATGAAAACATAACGTTTCCTCTGCAGAAATGAAAATTAGTTAAAGAAACACATGCAATTATCAACGCTGGTAAATGAACTCCATTTGTTTTAAAGGGCTAACGTCTGTGAAGGAACCTGAGGCAGTGACACTCTGAGTAACGCTGAATAAATTAGGCTGTGGAGCCGCTACACTTGGCTGACACCAGGAAAAGCTCTGACTATGTTTTTGTTGCTGTTTATAAAGACGCTCCATCATCAGTATCTGGTGAAGACTCGTCGTGGAGCAGTCATTTAAAAGGTAGAAATGAATGTGTTGTTGTTGACTCAGCCTTGGTGATTTAGGAACACTCTGGACTGGAGGCTGGACGCTCGTCCTCATCATCTGGATGGAATTATAGTAGATGGACATTATTCATACTCTACATCAGTGGTCCCCAACCCCCGGGTCGCGGACCGGCACCGGTCCGTGGGTCGATTGTTACAGGGCCACACAGGAAGAATGCATAACTTACATTATTTCTGTTTCATTTATTATCTGATTCTCTCTGCTGCTTCTGTCTGTGACTAATTCATGTCACGATGCTTGCCTCAGTCACATGTCTTAACATCCACTACCTTCTTCTGCATTGAAACCATCGTTAGTTAGCAAAATGAACAAAAACCAAACGTAGCTAGTGCCATCTCAGTGTTTCTACTACTGGAGGTATTTCAGTGTTTCCTTGTTGTTAAAGATCTGCCATTGTGTCCTTTTAATGAAAATCTGACTGGACGCCAGATTAGTGGGAAACTGTGTAGCCTCAAATATATGATCAACTAAAGTCCTGTGGGATCTGTTCAGAATCATTAAGCAACGAGACTAATAACTCCCTGGAATTGGACCATTGGGACCTGGTGCTCTACAGGTACTAGATAGATGGATAGAACTTTATTAACCCCTCGGGAGTTCGCTTGGAGACATTAAGGCTACTGGTTCTTAATTCCCAAATATTTACCTAAAACTGATGCCATTTTTCATCATAGAAAACAGGTTGGCACAGTTTCCTTACAACAGTGTGTTTGCTGGTTCAATCCCTGGTTTGGTGTTTTTTGGACTCTTATGAAGTCAGACAACACTTCAAGGATTCAGCTGTAGAACAGGGATTTCCAAAGTATGATGTGCGCATCCCCAGAGCAGGCTGCCCTTTGGGAGCTGCCACTAGGGGGTGCATGAGATTAAAAAAAAATGTAATGTTGGATTGGTGTGTGTTTTTTTTTTAAGTGGGATCCACACGATAAAGACGTGTAAATTAATAAATTAATGCTGGTTATATATACATGGTCTGGTCATTTGAGCATAAATAAACATGCTGCAGAATAAATGGATATAGTGACCAGCAGTGGTCCCCATCCCCCGGTCAGGGGACCGGTCCCGGTCTGTGGGTCATTTGGTACCAGGCGAAATGTAATGTTGTATTGGCGTGTTTTTTTTTAAGTGGGATCCACACAATATACTCAATTCAATATACTAGAATTGAGTCATATCCGTTTACTTTTTTCATTCAAAGATAATCTGGGAATGTTTCAAAACAACAGTCGATGATGTTTTATTTTGAAAATGTTGTGATCTTTCAATGACGGCGCAGTATTACAGACCTGCAGTAACGGCTGATAGCGGCCGACCGGGGACCACTGAGTTAGAGAACCTCAACTCTGCTCTGTTGCTCACACAGACAGTCAGCTGTAGAAGCCACTGCCACTCCATTCAACCAGTTTGTGTCATTGAAGTAAGTCCCAGACAGACCAGTGGAGGCAGCGGTGGCTCAGTTTAGGTTTGTCCTCCACTGACATGGATTCACAGAGTGTGGTCTGACTCTGACACTCTGAGACACACTGAGAACAGAGCAGGCAAATCACTCCTCAATAATTCATAGTCTCGGTCCTGTCTTTAAACATGCAAACATTTCATTAGAGTCTCTTCTGTGTCTGCCGTCACCTGTGTTTGCCGTGAAAGGTCAAATGTATATTTCATTTGGAGTTTGCAGCCCTGCACTGAGTCATCGTCTGACTGCTGTTGGACAAAGTCTAACTTCATTAGTGTGGCTGTGACGGCATACACACACACACACACACAGACACACACACACTCTTCTTGCAGTGAGAGTGTGTTATCCGCCCGCGGACAGGATCTCCTGATAATTATTCCTGACTCTGAGTTCACAGATACAGTGGGTTAGAGTTTTATGTCACAATCTCTGCAGCCATGTTCCATGTGACGGAAACCACACTGTTTATGCAGACTGTTTTTCTCTGCCAACACAATGACTGAGCGCTGTTGTAAGCAGCCAGGACACTACAGTCTGGTACTGCTCAGTGGAGGAGGCCTGCTACTTGTTTCCATCTGTTATTTTTGGAAGATATTTCCAGAAAAGTTTGCAAAGTTGAGAGAGTGAGAAATATATTTTTTTTGCAGGCATGTGAAAGTGTAATACCAGTTAATACCATCGGGTGGTTCCGCTATTGTTTAATCACTGTGCTAAAACTTGGACATGTGTCCAAATATTTCAAATAGCAACACACACACACACACATATTTATTCAGATAATTCCTTACCATTTCTTGCAGTTACTTTCAAAATAAAAGCCCTGCAGTTGCAATCCTAGGCGTCATAGTTACATGGTTTTTTTAATTTAATTTTAATTTAACATTTTACACCATCCAGGTCTGAAGTGGAGTTTAAATGTGTTTGGATCATAACAACAACATCTGTTCAAATATGAAGTATCATTACACACATTTTACTCAGGGATCATCAGATCCTTCATCCATGCAGTCGCTGTAATATCAGGGACTGAATGGTCCTGTATGTTTTATCAAGCTGCTGCTGTATCCTGCTAATTTTCATTGGGGGGTCATGAGCCAATCATAGTAGAGATTGGCTAAAAGAAGGTAAACATTTAGGACAGATGACCAGACAGAAGAAGCGTCTCAGTAAGTCTTCATTAGTGTGAGCAGTAGAGATGTTGGATTTTATTATGTGCAGTGATTATTACAGTATATACAGTACTCCTGTGTCCTTGGTGTAACGGTCAGTGAAGCTAGAGGTCAGTGTGTGGTTTCTCTGTTGTGTTGTTGTAGTTGAATGTGTGTCTCCGTCTGTCTGTCTGTCTGTCTGTCTGTCTGTCTGTTGTCTCTTCTTAATGATCTGTGATGTAAATCTGACTGATCTGCAGCAGCAGACTGAACAACCACTGTACGACAGTGTTATTGCCCCGTGGTAGAGGCTGAATGTACAGCCCTGTGTGGAGGCAGAACCACTCTGCACAGACTAATAAATGCTAAGTACCGATGACTCCGCTGATAAAACAGTGATCAGTACTGTAACTGTAGTTAATATTGTAAGAGCAGAGCAACGTCGCACTGACTGTGACTCAGTTTACTCCCACTGTCGTCGAAGCAGTCGAACCAGTATGTGTGTATGTGATTTTAAGGTGTATATATGTGTGTGTGTATTTACAGTACACATACGTGTGTGTATATATGTATATATATATATACATATATACATATATGTATGTAAACATATATGTATATATTTATATATGTATATATGTATACATATATGTATGTAAACCACCTTCAAATAAATGTAATGCTTTATCTACCATTCAAGGCCATTGTCATTGAATAATGTCCACGTTCCTGTTATTTCAAAGCTGTTTCACCGTCAGCTGCCACTTCCACCCCAGCCTTGTTTTTCTGCTTGTACTGCTGTTTACATGTCTGTGTTTTCAGGTGTTTACCAGTCTTTTGGTGTGTGTGTGTGTGTGTGTTCCAGGCTGCGTCTGATGCTCTCAACAGTCTGGGCCATGTGTACACAGCCATCGGTGACTTCCCAAACGCTCTTGCCAGCCACAAGCAGTGTGTGCTGCTGGCACGACAGACCCAGTGTCAGCTCTCCGAAGCTCGCCAGCTGGGAAACATGGGCGCCGTGTACACCGCACTGGGAGACTTCACCAACGCCGTCCAGTGTCACGAACAGCACTTGGATATCTCAAAGGTACAGTACTTCCCTCATGTTCTAAAACTCTCAGTTAGCCCATCAGTAAAAGAGATGCCTTACAGCAGAAAAAAAATCAAGGTTCGATTCCCAGTGATAAGTCAAGGTCTTTCTGTATGGCGTTTGAGTTCTCCCCACCATGTGAGATTAGGGTTAGCAGTTCACTCTGAATTGACCATAGGTGTGAATGCAAGTGTGAATGGGTGTTTGGAGTTGGAGATAAATATGGAAGTTAATGTTGGAATGCAGCCAACTTGTACCTCCACCCACCCTACTTGGTAAGAACCAGGGGCGATGACAAACTTTAGATATCTGCACTGACAGTTTCCAGAGAGTGTGTCTAATTAGGGAAAATATATTTTTAATGTGGTTGGTTATCTGTCACTAATTAGCAGCTGCCAGAACTCCCTCCACTGAGTTAATATTAGATGGTCACAGTTGGTGGGAGATGACAGTGAGCACAGTTGTTGTTCTGTCATTAGGAGCCAGGAAGTCAGAGCTGAGGGCGAAGTTTTCATTAATGCTGTCACCAGGTCACTGTTGAACACAGGTGTCACATTTTACCACCTCCATGCTAATGTATGAAAATCAACACTGTGTTTGATTCAAAAGAAAAGACCTTAAAATACCAATGGAGAACAAAACTTAACAGGGGAATGTTAAAAGGCGTTATTATTGTAGTTACATGTGATCGCATGATAAAACAGGGGTGTCAAACATACGGCCCGTGGGCCAAAACCAGCCCCCTAGGGTGTTCTGTTAGGCCCGCTTGAAGTTTGAAAATAAATAAAATACACAAACACTTTATGTTCAGGATATGTTTGAAAAAAATAAAATAAAATAATAACAATGAAATATATTTTATCAAATATGAATAAATAATTATAAATATCTAAAATACTAGGGAAAAAACATGTACTTTTTATGTCCAGTGTATATATATATATACATTTTTATACATAAAATAGCACCTATATAACTATATACACATTATATATTTATGAATCTACATATATAAATAAAATTATGTATTTGTAATAAATATATGTATAATATTTTTTTTCAGGTCAGTTCTACATCTATGAATACACTCTTCATGTATCATTCTAGAGTATATTGTAAAGTATATTGTAGAGTATAGTGCGTTGCAGACCATAACATGGCCACAAATGTCTTGACAGAAATTGGAGAATCGCCGCGAGGAAGCACGAGCGTACAGCAACCTGGGCAGTGCGTACCACACTCAGCGTGACTTTGATAAGGCCATCTCCTTCCACACGAGAGTGCTTGATTTGGCACAAGACATTGAAGACAGAGCCATCGAGATGAGAGCATATGCCGGTCTGGGCCACGCCGCCCGCTGCATGCAGGTTGGTATAAACGTGGATAAAGTGCTCGTCTGGATCACACACTCAGTCTGGGGTTTGTTTTTTATTTGTTTTGTTTTAACTGATATAAATGATCACCCACAGGACCTGGACAGGGCTCTGCAGCATCACCAACACCAGCTGGAACTTGCTCAGGAGCTGCAGGACAGAGCGGCTCAGGGCCGAGCTTCGTCTAACCTGGGTGAGTTCATGTTGTACGACTACATTTGTGGAAAAAACATAGGCCTTGTCCCAGCACAGCTGAAGACACTTTGCTTGTCCACAGTCAGTGAAGGGTGAAATCAGCAGGACTGTAGTATCACATGTGGATCATGGAGTTGAGACCTGGGTTTAGTTCAGTTTGCAGTTCACATTTATTTTGTTTTTTTACTTCTGAGAATTTTGTGCGTTCTTCTGTACATCATTTTGAATGACATCACAACAACGAATTTGAAAGATTTTTGAGGAGGAACAAACATTTAAAGGAGCAGATCATGCTAATGATTTAAACTTAAGTTCAAATGCAGAGACTATTTCCACTGAGAAAAATAAAAAAGCGTTCACTATCACCAGAAATTGAGTTGAAGAAGTTTGAATTCCTTTTCTTTTTTTTTAAAGAGTTCAGCTTCTGCTCAGGCTCAGTGAACAATTCAGAACAAACACTGTAGTATTTTAATAGGTCGTCTTTGGGAACAGTTTTTCCTGGGATAGCAGATCTCTAATTTCTGTCCTAATTGGGTCATTGGTAACCAGACATGTTTTTTTCTGAATACAAATACACATCTGACTCTCTCAGAGCCGTATTTACTGTCATTTATTTGTGCAGTAAATCTCAACATAAGGGAAGAGAGCAGCAAATTAAAGAACACCAGCCAGTTCTCGGCTACAGCTGGTATTTGAATAATATTCTTTGTGTATTTATGAATGTGTTTTAAGCTGTCGGGCTTATGATTTATTTATTTGAAAGTGAGATTACATTTTATTTATTTTATCTATTTTATGGAGGACTCACTGAGGGCTGCATAATTCTGTGTTTAATTATGGCAGTGTATTTTCGTCTCTTGCAACTAGCGGCTTTTTAAAATATAAATAAAATACGGACGGAATATTCTGTGTTTTCAAATATATTTTGTCTCTCCAAACGGATTTAATTTAGGACAAAATGTCTCTTCCCAGAACACTGACAGTCATAGGAGGTGACGGAGAAATAATTATAGGGGACAGAAACAGCAGCCTGACATCAGAGAGATCAGAACAATGTGCACTACCATCCTGAAGGAGGCGCTCAGTTTATAACAGATAACAATGGAGGTTTTTTTCACAGGCTGTGTGTAGGAGAGTATAAGTCTGAGACAAATATAATCACTTCATCCAAGCCCTGAGCTGACGGTGTGTTTGCCTTGAAAGGTTCAATAAGAATCCAATTACAATGAATGAAGAAACCACAGATGCAGTTGTTAGCATCTGTGGCTGCACCACAGGTCTCCTATTGACAAGGTGTCTGCTTCTGGAATAAGGAGAAGTCGAACATTTTATTTGGAGAAAAGTCGGTTCTCAGCCTCAGTACTAAGTGAGACTAAGAAGTTCAGAAGTTTCCTGGAGATGTTTCTCTGATCCACAAGGCGTCTTTGAATCTGACCGGCTGCTGGGAATGTCTTTAACAACTGTTGAGATGGACACGAGGTAGAGATGTTACGATATGCTCCAGGGAAGCAGAAAAGGTGAGGAGATGATAGAAGAAAAAGAATGGGAGAAAACAGAAAGGGAAGTGAGGAACAAAAGAAAAACAGAAGGAGACAAGGATAGCAGAGCTGTTTG